TCCGGCTGGCACAGGTAGGAGTCTCCGGCCTCCTTAACCCCCAGGGGTCGGCGGGATCTGACAGAAATTTCGCCAAACCGTTTAAATAACTCTGCGAGTGTTTGTCATATACCCTTTTAAAAAAACACCCTCAGAAACCTTGGACGGTTCTTTCTATTCGTGATATGAATAGAAAGAACAAGAGTGACTGACTTAAGCGTCTGCGTCTCGAAGCGGCTCTGATCTCCTTCCCACTTGCAAATCGCGCTATTCGCATGATAATAACATGATAAGCCGACAGTTAGTATTGGGTAAAGAAATATGTGAATACGCCCATTGTGACCGAAATAAACAAGAGCACATGTCTGGGTAGTGTTTACACTGATCGGCTACAATATAGCACACGGATACGTCTCTGCCGCTGAAGCTTTGCGCCAGTGTTGCCACTTTCAGCAGCGAAGCTCATACCTGCGTTCATGGCTCAGTGGGCTAAGCCTGTGTGCCTGCAATCACGTGGTCGCCGATTCAAACGCAGCGTATTTAGAACGTGAATAGCGATCTTCAGCTGAGAGCGGTCCTACACGCTCCTGATGCAAGTAAAACAAAGAAAGGTGACACGGTTGCTTTTTTTGCCTATTTAACCTAATTTTAAAAACTTTAATACTTCCGACAATGGAAGCTTTGAAAAGAAGACAGATAACGGATTTAGTCTGTTTTTTTTCTCATGATTCTACATAATGATTTCAGCTAATATAAACTGAAATACACAAGAAAGCTATGTGGTCGACGATGCCCTCGTCCCCAGAGCGTTAATAATAATCACTGCATCATATTTATCGCTTTCTATATTTATATAGTCAGTTTTTCATTTTTCATTCCATCTATCAATAAACTGTGAAAGGGATTTTATTGTTGCTACTTTTCTTGCGTTTCAAACTGCCTTTCCAAAGTGATGGGTGTGGGGTGCAGTGACATTCCAGACTGATGGGCCATTGACTATGCAAACTACTACATGTGTGAGGACACCTATCTCATCAATATTCATTGTGAAGGCCACTGACTTTGAGAAAAAGAGTGTCACTCTAAAGTTCTAACACTTTAGTAATCAAACTACATAACATTTCAGAATGTCACTTTCACCTATGTGTAGCCAACCCCTGTGTCTATAAGCTTCAGAGCTCAAAAGTCTTACCTAGAAATGTCTATAATGTGATTTTTTACAATTTCTCAGCATGTCTGAAAATAGGTTTTTGAAAAGTATATGTTTAAAGTTGATTTTAACAAAAAATAGAATAATAACATTCTAAGAGGTCTCAGATTATTGGTGCTGAGTTCGTGCTGAATAAAAGCAAATGTAACACTTTGGGATAAATGTTTTTTAGATAGGTGAAATATTTTAAAATGTCAAGGCATGTCAGACTACCCCGAAAGTGGAAAAGAGGTCTCAGACCCCAGGGGGTTAATGGCAGGACTCACTAGTGATGACCAAAGCATGTCCCAAAGTAAACCAAGAGCACCATCTAGTGGGGTCTAAAAACACAGCAAATGGTTCATGAAGCTTAATTTGGCTATCACTAGGGCTAACACGCATCGCAGGCCACTTCTGGATGTCTGGACTGACATTATTTGTACGTTACCTGCAGGGTCTGACTCACCTGGGGAAGGGAACCCTCACCTTGTGCCCCTACCACAGCGACCGGCAGCTTATGAGCCAGGTGGCAGTGGCGGGCCTGCTCACCGTCCTCGTCTCCTTCTTGGACGTCAAAAACAGTTGGTGTCTCTCCATAAGCCATCTGCAATTGTCTATGATTTCTGTGGGTTCATTCAGGTAATCCCCACCCTACCTGTCTGCATTGCAGTAATTCTGGGGAAATCCCACTACGTGCTATATAGCCTGGTGGCAGCTATGCAGCCCCGCATGCTGGTCACCTTCGACGAGGAGCTGCGACCGCTTCCGGTGTCGGTCAGGGTGGGACAGGTGAGGACACTCTGAATGGGCTATCAGGGTTAAACCATACTGCTGAGCATGGGGCCACCTGAAATTACCCATCCACCCATCTTCCAAACACTTATCCCGGTCAAGAGAGTGTGTGAGGGGGGGATTAGGCACCAGGCTGGGATATGTGTGGCGGCCATCTGCTGTACTGTTGTACGCTGAGCTGTGAATTTGTGCCTGGCTTTGATAAGCTGTATGTGTCCCTAGGCGGTGGACGTGGTGGGCCAGGCTGGGAAGCCCAAAGCTATCACAGGCTTCCAGACCCACACCACACCAGTCCTGCTGGCCCACGGTGAGAGAGCAGAGCTGGCCACCGAGGAGTATGTGCCTGTCACACCCATTCTGGAGGGCTTCGTCATCTTACGCAAAAACCCCAACTATGATGCGTAGGGTGTCTCTCTACTTCTGATCCCCATGACTGAGGCTTTTTAAAGTCATTCCCATGGAGTTTGTCCCTCTCAGTTTATAGTCCCTGATCCAGATGAACATATAAAGAAGGTTTTTGGAGGCAAAGATTGTGTCAAAGTTTTACTCATCAGCTGGGAGATTCATTTAGGGAGAACTAAGCCAAACCCAATCTCAGCCACACCACGAATCACCATTCAGGAGGAGATGCCATCATGCTGCACCAATATGGGGGGGGGGGGGCTGGTGTGACAGGGAGGGCTGCTGGAGTCGAGTGCTAATCCTGCATTGAATTACCAGGCATTAAACACCACGCTGTCAAACATGGTGAATCTACGCTGCTCCAGATTCTCTAGACGAAGGTGTCACAACATCTACATCGACTTCATAAATATCCCCAAATGCCTAAGCAGAAGACATTAAGTTTGGCAATAAATAAACATACAGACATGTAGAGAATCATTGCCTTGTTAATGGAAAGTATTCTTTTTTTCTGTTTAAAAAACTGTCTACAATATTTTTTTTTAAGATTTGGTACAATACAGCATAAATAAAGTTACCTTATTCGTGTCTGTTGCTTTTGTTTCATTTGCTATGTGAAGGATTCTCATCTCATTCGTTTAACTTTTGGTTGGGATTAACTGGGAGGCTGGGAATGTCAAACTAACAAAGTCAATGGAAATTCTGCCTTTGTCACTGATTTGTTAGTGCAAAGTGACTCCACAGAAACATTGTGACTAGGTTAAACAGTAAGTCTATATGTTAAAGTAAAAAATAAACCAGTATGAAATTACCAAAAAAGGTAATTTAATTACTTTGCTAATGAATGTATTGACACTCATATATTTGGCATGCAACCAAAACCAGACCATATTGTCACTGTCACTTTGACCCCGTATATGTCACCGTTGTCGTCACTAACTCTTCCGAAGTACCACGACACTCAATCCGAGGCAAGTCTGAGTCAGCTAACTGCCTACATGGAAAGGACAAAATATACGCTACAGTTTGCCTACGTATTATGTTCTTTTACTTGATAGATTTGTCTGCGTTTGCATTGCGCTTACCAAGACACAAATTTATCGACCTGTATTTGAAACAAATTCAGCAGCAAGAACTTATAAAAATTTTAGGCTGCTCCAGTGTCACATGACTGGGGTATGAGGAGCTCCCATTGTGATTAAACCGGAAGTGCCAATCAGCTTCCGGGAGGACTCCGTCCGGCTCCGCGGACTCAAGGAGAGAAAGGTAACGTCGTGGCTCCGCTCTGTACTTTTTGTTAATTCAGAACCGCCAGGGGAACCAACAGTCAATCCGCTACCATCCACACCTTAAACATGGACCTGGCACCTAGCGGTTCGATCCGCGGGTATCCGTTATGTCAGTAGGTCTGTCCCAAGGTAGTATTACTTTGTGATTTTTTTTCTCTTTTTTTATTTTTTATATATTTCTAGGGATTTAAAACACTTCTGGCGAAGTTGCCCAAAAAGGAATAGGATACATCTTCCCCTTGGAACTTGAGGACATTTATAGTTTTCAAAAGAAAATTGTATGAAAGAATCGGACGGAAAAAACAGATCTCACTAGAAAAGGCACAGAATCAGACCCTCAGTCCGGCCAGGTTGTCTCCCTTGTCTCCAATCTGTCTCTGGTAAGCAAAGCGGGCCGGTCCGAATAGCTGGTCTGCTGCGTGTGGGAAACCTTTAAAATCTGGCCTTATTTTTCAGAAATTATACACGGAATCAATCCGCTGTTACTGTTCTCCCGTCATATTTTTCTGAAGGCAGATGAAGTTTTTATTTGATCACTGTCGTGGGCGAGCTAGTGTGTCCCGTTTTGATGAACCCTCCTTTAAACTCCCAATCGCTCCCGATACCGACGTACCTTTGATTTGTATAAACATTTCCGGACATGTTTTCTTTCTCTTGTAAATGGTGGGGTAACTGAAACGGCAGTCCAGTACGAGTGTCATGCCGGTAGGAACAACCACGATGCTGCTTATCGCCGGTCGTCTCAACTGGGTGTAGGCCCCTTTGCCACCGATGGCTTGTGGGGAAAAAACCGTTATTTTAAAATTCGGCCCAGACAAACACCCGTGAAATGTGCGCTTTCTGGGACAGACCGGTCCATGGGGACGGCATCTTTTAGCCAGGTCTCCCGATACTGACATTCGGTTTGATCGAATGCCCTGATCCTGTCGGAGGCGGTGGGTCCACCGGGCCTGGCACGGAGGCCTTCTTTAGGGTGCAGACTTTGTACTCATCGGTTTAAACACTTTATTTTCTATTGCGGCACTTGTCCGCTGTGTTTTTAGTTGTTTAAAATGTGATTGATAAGCAGACATCTGTGCGCCCATGGGCCAGTGAATTCTGTCCTGGTTACGTGTTAAAACTACAATTTAATACGGATCTCTTCAATTTCGATGAATGGGACTCTTATCGGCACGTTTTATTGCCTTTTTCTGAGTATGAGTGGGTTCGGGGCCGAGCCGGACAGGGGGTCCGTTTTACCGGCAGCTGACACGTGTCCAGGCCGGTGTGCAGGTCTTCCTGCGGGTTATTTCGAGCGGTTTTGTCTTCCGGTACGCGGTGGCGTGCAGGTGTAGTCCTGCCCAGCTGAGTGTATTTTCACGCAGCCTGCGTGTTCTCACGCCGTTGGTACCGCCCGGGTCCGACTCGGCACTGCTTGAATGACAGTTGGGCGACATGTCCAAGTTCGACATTCTAGTCCGTTTGCCAGTCATCTGAGTTTGCACCGGCGTTGGAATGATGGTGGGTACCGATAACTGCTTTATCATATTTCCCTGCTACTGCGTATCTGGGTGGTTCACCGGCCCACCGCCCACCCTGTTTCTGGAACTTAGCTTTGTAGCCCATATCCGGCTGTTTTTTTTTCTAGCTACGTGTCTATTTAGTAAAGTACTGGTTTTAGACAAACGGGTTCAAAGCACTTATATTCTCTGCTGGTTGAGCGCTACTGTTTGACAGTATATATCGGATGTACATGTCTGCTGTATAAAAGGCTGTAATTTACTCTATGTACTATGGATATATCCCTTGAACACGGCCATTTCTGTGGAGACTGCAGTTTCGGGTGGCCGGAATGACACGTCGAGCGAGAGGCCCACCGCCCTCGCCTGATTTCCCTAGCAGTTTGAAATAAAACTCCTTCATTCTCCCCTGTCAGTGAGCAAACGTATGTAAACGGCTATGGGTTTACTCCGACAACTCTTTACCGAAGTCTGGCCTGAAAAATTAGTGAGTAACCGCAGCATACGGAGATGGCGTACGCGGCCCGGAACCTGCGCACGTTCGCGGTTTTACGTTTTCTAGCCATGTTGTTAGTACAGTTAGCACCGTCTCGGTGAATTAGCACCGATGCTATTTAGCGTCGCCGCGAAGCGAGAGTGGTGGCGTGGCGAACGCGTGAGTCTGTTCTTTTAAGGGGTTTTACTATGATTGGCCTGCGGCGCGCGGCGGCCCTCGAGCCGGGGCTGGAGCCGGTTAGCGTGTGCGCGAGCAGAGCAGGAAGCACGTGGTGCGTCCTGAGCCAGTGGGGAGGGCAACATGGCGCCGCCGAGGCGTTGCGGGAGAGAAGGTTCGCCGCGCTTGTATCAGCGCGTGTTTTCGTAGGCTTTACGTATCTCTCTGTGTTTGGTCACGATATGGGATATTTTTGCACGATTCGCCAAAGTTGTAGAAGAAATCGCCAACTGTTGGGAAATGGGTTGCAGGACCTTTAAAGACACGTTGAGGCCGACTCAAAATGGATCCCGCTTAACTGCTGGGGATTCCTCGCGTTTTTGTGGACTTTCTTCATAGTCACTTTGCCGCACAAAATACGACAAACTTCCATATTTTTTTAGTTTAACTCAACAGATTTATGCAAAACTAATTTTATAGTTTTAATATTTGTTCCCGATTTGAATAAAAAATGTGATCCCTATGTGACTGTCATTTATATCCAGGCAGCTGACACTAGCTTAAATGGTTATTATAGCGATGCGCTTCCTATAGGTAACTTACAGTTAAAAGTCCCATGTCTTCTACTGCATGCTTCGCCAATGATCTCACCCTGAAGAGGCAGCTTAAAATGTTTCTGCTGGAACTTTTAGAGACTCCATTTCTAAAAGGGGTTGATGTTATTCGATTACCATTAAGTTGTGGATTACCCTTTACAGATGTGATTGTAGTTTTTGGTTGTGGGGGGAGTGTCAGAGAAAGAGTGCACTGCATTAGCCTTGTAAGGTGGTGTGCCCATGTGAATTACTGTGTGTGTTTACAGGAAAGTGTTTTTCCTCTGACTCACAGTTTTGGGGCAGTGTGACAGACCCGTCCTGGGCACACTGCCATTTGTGCAGCTCTGTTTGCATTAACACAAGCAAGCACTGAGCCAGCTATGAGAGAACACTATAACCCAGTCACATGTGTAGACCGCTGGCAGAGGTGATGATTTCGTAGGCGATACTTTTATGCAGTCTACAAACACTTATTTTCTCTGTCCTTACATGAGTGTTGGGGTTGTGGTTGCTGGGAGTAATCTGCTCTATTCTCATGTTTCCTTTTTGGGGGGATAGTGGGCAGTCTGCTCAAACATGGTGCAGAGGTGCAGCAAGACAAGCAGTGTGCCCCAGATCTAGGGTTTAGGGCTCCTGCCACCCAATGTAGCCGTGTGAGTGGCAGACAATGCAGGGAGGGAGAGTACTAACCTTTACACTAAGAATACTAGATAAAACGGCACCAGTCTGCACCCCCGCTGGATGGGTGTCGTTTGTTGTGGTCTGAGCATGCTCTGTCCGGCTGCCCTGCCCTCACCCAATACTTCAGAATGCTGTGAGCAATAGAATGGCTGGCTCATGATTTAAATGCAGCCAGCATTGTACTGGTGGCCCTTGTGTATAGAGTTTTGAAATAGCTATACAAACTGAAACTTTAAAACTAAGGGATTTTTGAACTGAAACTCGGATAACTGTGAGATGAGTGTTTTAGCAAAGGCATTTATTACTCTGTAATGGCCTCTGCAGTCCTCCCAGCATGCACCTTGATGGAGGTGTTTAGTGGACTCTCGTCATTGGCTGAATGGCTACTGGTACTGCTCCATTTAGCAGTGTGTGCTGCTGTTAAACGGATCTTTATGCTGTGATAGTTTATAAGGGTGAGATGGCCAGTACCTGTCCTGTACTAATGAGGTACAGCAGCTGTATTGACACCAGCATTTGCATCAGCTGTATTCTATGTTCATGTGATGGAAATTCAAGCATTTTGCTTCTGGAACACGGGTAGTAATTCATGAAGTGTTTGACTCCTGGATGTCTTTCTTATAAATGGATGTTTCTAGTAAGTGTTTGCTGATTAAACATCTATTATCTTAGGAATCCTAATGTGATTACAGCCTGGATCCTTTATGCGTGTCATATCAAATCAAGGCTTCCTCATTTTTTGAATATCTATTTGATTTCTCGCAAAACTAAATCGGGGTTTTTCAAACCAGTTCACAGAAGCGTAGTGTAAGTTGGCGAAACATAGCCCCCCCCCCCCCTGCCCACGGCTGACACGTATTGGTGCAGAGTCCTTTTCTCTGTTTGATTTCCATTTGGCGGGTTCCTGGTTTGAGGGATTGAAGACCTCGATGAAATGCTCAGGGTATATTGTGAAGTTCTGCATGGCTTTTCTGTCCCTGCTGGCCTGCCGTACGCCGCCCCGTACCCGCGGCCGTGTGCTTGGCCGTCCCCTCCGTGCCTGTCTGAATTACCTTCTCTTCTCAGCTTTACACAGCTGCCAAGGTCTCCATGCGGAACCAGATGAAATGAATAAAGCCCCGCAGCCTATAGCAGGACCTTCCTCCACCCCTCATCCCGCCCCCTCTCCTGGACTCTCACAGGTACGTGTCACTTAGCTCCGCCCTTTAAACACTATCATTAGGGGAGTGACACTCACTTTTTGTTCCTTATTCTGTTTCCAGGCCACCTACCCTCCAGGACAGCCCCCTGTCGTGTTCACTACCCCACCCCCACCAATGAACCCCACAGCCCAATCCCGCCAGGTACGTCCCAGTGCCGCATCCCTGCGGGTCACCCAGAGCCCTTTGTGTGCTTTTCGCTTCGGAGGAAGAGCGTAGGCTTGGACGATTTCTAAAACCCAGAAGGGCTTTCTGATTCTGCTGTCCATTGTAAACGAAAGAATAGACCTTATGTCGCAGTGAGTGCAAATGTCCGAAGTCACTTTACTGCTTCTTGCATGTAGCTGAGCCTTTGATTGGCTGAAAAGCTCGGAGAGTCGTGTGAAACGGTGCAGTGCTTTAATGGCGCCTGCTGCCACGGTACCCAGCTGCTGTGCTGTGTGGTTTTCTGAATCCTCCCAGTTCCTGTGGTCCTAAACACTGCTCTGGCTCCCTCTCTGCCCTGTGTGGCTTTGGCCTCTGGCCTGTGCGGTGCTGTGCTCCTTACATCGACGGCTACTGGCGGGTTGTAGCTGTGGGAAGGTGAGACACAGGTTAGATGATTAGAGTGGCCGGCTCAAGGTCGTTCGATCCAGGCCCGGCTGTCGCATCTCTAAACGAGCCCTGAATCTCCAGATCTGTTCGTAGCCCTGTGTGTTGCAGGAGGTGATGGTGGCACTTTGTGTTTGTGTGCATGTGAGCTTGTGCTGCTCCTTCTGGCTGCCTGGCTGGCTTCAGCTTTGGGTAATGGGTTTTCCTGCCTTTTCTCCTGTCTCTGTCCTGTCTGCTGCTGAAGGGAGGATTCAGGTCGCTGCAGGTAATGCCCCCCCTTCCTCCTCCTAGTGCTGTGCCCCCCCAATTAATGCTCTCTTCCTTGGTGGCTGCTCGTTGTCCTTCCCCTCCTAAAAGCGTGCTGACCCCAGCATCTCTCTACAGCCGTACTATCAGAACCGGGCCAACCTTCCCAGCAGTGCCCAGCGGGTAACGTCCAGTGGTGGTGCCCGGGCCATGGGACCCACACATGTCTACCCATCCAACTCGCAGATGATGGTGATCCCTCAACAGCCGCTCCCATTTACCAACTCGCAGGGTCCGGCCACTTATTTCATCCCCTCCGGCCAGGTGAGTCGCCATGACGACAGTCTCGCTCAGCCTCTTGCTGGGCATTGGTTCACTCCTCTGAAATGCTGTTGCCCTCCCTATGGTGCAGCGATCTTCTGAGTCTGGCCTTGCCTCTGGGCAGTGCCGGCTTCTTGACCCTTCCTGAACTTTCTTCATTGTGCACCATCCAATAGCATGTCCTGTGTCATCACAGCCCTCCTGACCTGTGGATTCTCACCCTGGGGAGCTGGGAGTGACTGCCACAGCTAGCCAGCTGTTAAAACAATGGGGCCCACCTCTCTAAATCACTCCCCCACCCCCCTCTCTTTCAGTATCGCTCGACCTATGTGGCCACCACACAGCAGTACCCGGTCCCCACGGGAACAACTGGCTTCTACCCTGGATCCAGCCCGGCAGAATATGGTACATATGGTAAGAGGCTCTGTTTGGGGCCTCGTCTGCCGAACGGGACCGTGGGGGCTGGGGGTGCAGTGACAGCAGCGCCGCCACGTGTCAGAAGATGGACCTACCTCTGTTCTCCTCTCTGGCTCCCTGGTTGTGGACTGTCACTCTCAGGGCCTCAACCAGAGGAGTGTGAATCTGTGCCGTAAATATTATTGGTCAGACGCTCTGGGCGATGGAAGATGGTGTCAAACTCAAGCGAGTTAAGAACCACCAGCCAGTACTGTGTGACCTGTTCTCAGTGTAAATGATCCCCCAAAATCCCCTGTCCTCCACTTTGAAAAATGATCGTCCAGTGCAGACATCTGCATTATTTTAGTAGTTATGTCTTTATCTCTGGGGCAGCTAACTTTAAATACTGATAGACTCAATATCCAAGGCTGACACATCGGGGGCTGATATCTTGTTTTTTGACCGATATTGGCCAATACCTATTTAATGGATGTCATGTGCCTCTAGTTAGCCGTGTGTTTGTGGTGTTGAGAAATGAAGCCGCCCACCTCTTTCAGCTGGAATGTGTGCCGCTAAGGCGGGGGTTTGCAAGGCCAGTCAGTCAGCTGACCAGTCATGTGACCATGACACAGCAAACCAGGCACAAGGACAGGGGCACGACCGGTATCTCTGAGCCTGAGCCATGCAGATTGTGTCTGTTCTGATTAGTGTGGCTGCGGTCAGTGGGAATGTAAAAAGTGGCGAGGGCGGTGTTTCCGGAAAGCTCCAGCAGACAGGAGTCAACCTATTTTATTTCCGTCTTCTGCGTAGGTGGTGGCGACTGACGGCTTGCGACGCACGCGCGCACATGCAATCGCGGTTTATTTTTAACTTTGGCTGCGCGCACCCCCCTTCCCTCCCCCCACCCCCACCTCAAATCCTCTCTGCAGTCAGGTTTGGGATTGCTAGGACCTCGGGCTTCAAGAAGTATCTATAACACACCCCCCTCCCCACCCAGGCCCAGTTTGAAACTGCTGTACTGGGTGTCTCGGGGTCAGCGAATGGGGAGCTTCTCCCGCAGGTGCTCAGAAGCCCGTGTCGCTCCGGGCAGCGTCTTGGGGACCCTCGTCTCAGACTCGGCTGACTGTGTGATCCTTCATTCGCTCGGCTCATGACTATATTTAGTCTGCTCTTCTGGTCAACAGCACAGTCAGTAATGCATGGAGTGTGCCAAGGAGACCGTATGACTGGGGGGGGGGGCGGTTGGGGGTATCCCAGGTAGGCTCCAGAGGAACAGTGTTGGTGTTTAGGTGGTTTCCCTGCTGAGGACCCGGCCTGCTCGTGAGCGTGTGCCGGTAGAATGGAGGTTTGCGTCCCTGGAGCGGCGCCTCCTACTGACACACACCTTCTCCAGCAGGAGCATTCTACACGACCCAGCCGCAGTACCCGGCACCTGTCCAGCCCACGCCGGTCATCATGAACGCGCCACCGCCACAGCAGCAACAGCAGCAGCAGCAACAGCAGGCCCCGGTCCACACAAAGCGGGAACGCAAGCAGGTAGGGGGCGCCGAGCGGACGCCGGGATTCGCGTTTGGGCTGCTTTAACCGGCTGCAGCTGAGCTCCAGAATGCTGGCCTCGTCCCGTCCGTCTCTGCTGATCCAGTTACTCTCCCAAGTAACGGCAGTCGCTCGGTGCGCCGCCTGGCTCGCGGAATGTTCTGGGACAGGAGTCTGCTGGGGGGGATTCCTGAGACTTGGGGGGGTTAGCTGAACTTTTGAAGCGGGGTCTTCTGAGCATTCAGTCTTCCCCTTTTGTGTCCTGATCTGGGGGATGGGTTTGGGGTGGGGGGCAGTTGAAGATTTGGGCTGCACTACTCCACGTGCCCCCCCCCCCCCCAGCTTTTCCGGCTGCTCTGCCAGCAGGACTCTGAGAGGGCGGTGGCAGGCTGTTTCGCTCAGTGTCAGGCTGCCTGTGTTTGGAGAGCCGCCCCCCCTTCTCCGCCCCCCTGGCCCCATTCGCTGGGCCCGGAGTCCCGTGGGTGGGGGAGGTGGAGGGGGGGCTGCATTCCAGCTGCGCCGCTTCGCCAGGCCGGCCATTCTCTCGCTCGCTTGCTCTCTCGCTCTACGTGCTGGGAGAGGCCCAGGCGGGCTGCGTAACCACAGCCGGAGTTGCGAAAGAAGTAGGCCCGTTTGCCAGGGCCCTCGGCTCGAGCTCGGCACTCCAGCCCGGGGATGCGGGCGGCCTTGCCGTGGGCGTTGGCCTGGGGTGTATGGCCGCACTGGGTCCCTTGCTGACGGAGTTACGGTAGGTGAGGGTGGGGGGTTGCCTGTATGCATTTTCGTAAGTCGAGCCACTGTGATGAGCAGAAGTTCGCTCTGCTCAGGCCTGTGCCTGCTGCCTTTCCGGGCTGCTTCGGTTCTGATAACGTGCTGCGTGGCCTGCTGGCTGGAGCGGGAGCTGCCGGGACGTTTGCCTGGGCCCCCTGCAGGGTCGGCCGCAGAGTCAGCAGGGGCAGGCGAGTCCTGTAACGCCGCTGTTGCTGGCATCGCTCTGACTCGGGTGTGTTTTGCATTAATAGATTAGAATAAGAGACCCCAAGGACGGCCGTGACATCACAGACGAGATTATGTCTGGGGGCCGGTCCACCTCCACCCCCACCCCACCTCAGGTGAGGCAGTTTACTTTTTTTTTTTCCCCCCCCCCCCCTCAGTTGCATAGTGGGACTGTGATCCTGGAGGACTGATCGCTTGTTTATGCCTTAGTCTGCTACTCTAGGCTCAGAAGGCGGTGTGGTTCAGGCGAATGGTGAGAATGTGACACCGGCTGCCATGGCAACCAAACCAGGTGAGTCGACACCTCACCATCCGTCCCACTCAGCCCTGGAACAGGTCTGCCACCTTCCTCCTGTGGTATCTGGGCTCAATCCTCCTCATTTTATTTTTTCAGATGATCGTGGAAAACCCACTGTGGTTTCAGCCCCTCCATCAAAGTCCCCCGAGCCAGGAAAGGCTGACCCTGTGGTGCCCCCCTGTGCCGAGGGTAAACCTGACATGGACAGTAAGGAGGCCCTCCTCCCCCCAGAGGTGCCGCTGCCCCCGGGGGAACCCTCCGCCAACACTAACACGACCTCTGCACCCCCAATGGGTGATGGCCCCGATGCCCCCGCCGGGCCCGATGCCCCCGCCAGCCCCTCTGCCGGCGCCCCCCTACAGCCAGAACCATCCGAGGTGGAAGAGGAGGTCCTAGCCACTGTTGCGGAGCTGAATCTGCAAGCATGTGACAAGGAGGAAGTGGAGAAGGAAGAGGAGCCGGACATAGTGGAGGTGGAGCCACTCACCGTCCCACTCACCCTGCCTAGTGCCATACCGTCTGCCACTAATGGCTTAAAGCCTACGGAGCCCGAGGCGAGCCCGGCTCCCGACCCCGAGGTCCCTCCCGAGTCCCCCATCGCTCAGCCCGAGGAGCTGCAGCTGGCCAATGGGTTGGCCACCCCCGGGGCGGCCGAGGCGGAGAGCACGCCCCAGGAGGTCCCCGAGAGCCCCGAGAGCCATGAGAGCCCCATCGCGGAGCCTGACGTGGCCCCACCGGACGAGGACTTCGCCGTAGCCGTGACCCCGCCCACACCTGCCGAGGAGGGGGAGGACGCACCCCCCCCGCAGAGTGCCCCTGCTGGGGAGACCTCTATGCAAGGTGCGTGTGAGCGTGCCCATGTGTTACCCTGACCTTCAGCCAACACCACCTACCTGGTGTCTGTCTGCTTGCCAGCGAAGCACCTTGATGACCTTGTGCTTTATGCTTCCACTAGCTGCTGTCTCCATGCCAAAGAAAAAAAGGAAGATGAAGGTCCTCAACAAGAAGGAGACAGGAGACCTTCTAGATGCCTTTAAGGAAGTATGTCTTTATACTGGCTTGGTGAAATGAAGCCTTATATTGGGAAATGAAGCCTTATATTGGGAAATGAAGCCTTATATTGGGATAGTGGAATATAGACGTTGTGGCCCATGTAATGCTCATTACCTCCATGTCCTCCCTCCATCAGGAGCAGGTGGTAGACAGCCACCCTGAATCGGAGCTGTCTCTCACCACCCCCACCCACATCGATGCAGAGGAGCCACAGCCTGCTCCGCCCACTGCCGAGGAGGTCGATGAGACCTGGGAGGAGAAGGAGGACAAGCTGGATGCTGAGAATATCGAACCCGAGACCCAGAAATATGACTACAAACAAGGTGATTTTTCTTCCCCTGCATTGCCGTCACTCGAGGTCTCTGCCTCAGTCTGTTGCTTCTTAAGTGCTTCTGTTCTTCTCTTCCAGAACAATGGAAACCTCTGAACCCAGAAGAGAAAAAGAAATACGACCGTGAGTTTCTATTGGGCTTTCAGTTCATCAGCGCTAGCATGCACAAGCCGGAGGGGCTGCCCCACATCAGTGACGTCGTCCTAGACAAGGTAGGTGCTGAATGTCCTACAGACCCGGCTTCCTGCTCGTCTGGCAGTAAGCCTGGTTCTGACAGCAAGTGTTTTGTCTTCAGGCCAACAAGACGCCCCTTCGGCCACTGGACCCCAGTCGCCTGACAGGCATGAACTGTGGTCCGGATTTCACCCCCCATTTTGCTAACCTGGGGAGGCCAATGGGAAGCAGAGGGCCGGTGAGTTATCGCGCTCGTCAGTAACGCTTCAATGCTGTGAACCCTGATTCTGGTGTAGGGCCTGGAATGCTCCCTACAGCTTCGGAGATCTTAATCATGGTGGTGCTGCCTGACACCCAACCTCCCTCCCCACTCATTGCCCTACAGCCATCCGGAATGGGCGGCCCCCGCCGTTCCCAGCAGGGCCAGAGGAAGGAGCCGCGCAAGATCATCGCCAGCGTGTCACTGAGCGACGACGTGCAGCTCAACAAGGCCGAGAAGGCCTGGAAGCCCAGCACGCGCAAGCAGTCCGTCAGCGTAGTGCGGGACGAGGACGACCCTGAGATTTCCCGTACGCTGGAGCTTTTCCGTCGCGTCCGCAGCATTCTCAACAAGCTCACGCCGCAGATGTTCCAGCAGCTCATGAAGCAGGTGCAGGACCTCACTATTGACACCGAGGAGCGGCTCAAGGGCGTCATCGACCTCATTTTCGAGAAGGCCATCTCCGAGCCTAACTTCTCCGTCGCCTATGCCAACATGTGCCGCTGTCTAATAGGGGTGAGTTTTCTGCCTGTGTTCTCGTGCTCCGGTGATGACCTCCATTTTGTGCCACGTGTCTGGGCCACTGATAGACCTGTGATGGTAATGAGGATCTGAGGAGCATAGTGTCTCGGGTCTCTAGATAATGTGCTGGGCTCCAGTTGTAGACGGACCATTTTATCTAATGCTCTCTCAACCTGCCAGCTCAAAGTCCCCACTGCCGACAAACCGGGAACCACTGTGAACTTCCGTAAGCTGCTGCTCAATCGCTGCCAGAAGGAGTTTGAGAAGGACAAGGATGACGACGAGATCTTTGATAAGAAGCAGAAGGAGCTGGACGCTGCATCTGTGGTCGGTTGATTGCATCACCCAATGCTCTGTTTCCTATCAGATATAAAAACTTGGAGGTTCTGTGCGTGTATGTTGTCGCATTGACATTGCTGCACTTGCCAGGAGGAGGAGAAGCAGCGTCTTAAGGAGGAGCTGGAGGACGCCAAGGACAAGGCACGGAGGAGGTCACTTGGCAACATTAAGTTTATCGGAGAGCTCTTCAAGCTGAAGATGCTGACGGAGCCCATCATGCACGACTGCATCGTCAAGCTCCTGAAGAACCACGATGAGGAGTCGCTGGAGTGCCTCTGCCGGCTGCTGTCCACCATCGGCAAGGACCTGGACTTCGAGAAGGCGAAGGTAGGTGTTGGTGTCCTGGGGATGTACAGCAACACAGGCTGAAGGCATCGTGAGCTGAACCCATGTTCATGTTGTCTGTAGCCCCGCATGGACCAGTACTTCAACCAGATGGAGAAGATCATCAAGGAGAGGAAGACTTCTTCACGAATCCGTTTCATGCTGCAGGACGTGCTGGATCTCAGACGGGTAATGCCACTCCCTCACTGCTGTTCAGTTCCCATCACCTGTAATGACATGCCTATCCTCATCCTCATCCTCGTGATCTTTGAGTTGAACTTATCCTGTTGCTTGGTGCTAGTCAACCCATCTGGTGGAACAGGTGACCACCTAGGTGCCATTTTATTGTGGTGGTGGGGGGGATTTGCCAATCTGTCCAAGGTTGCCAGGAGTTCTGCATGGGCTTCCACTGCCACTCTTGCTGCTCCACCTACTGCCCAGTGCTGAAGTGGATGACTTGTTTGAAATTGCTTGCTACAATGTCTTGGTGTTTCTTTGGAAAAATGGCTTGACCCTCCAAAGAAGCGCAATCCAACTTTTCTCTTTGCATGGTCCTTGGCCAGCATGGCTCCCTGAAGCATGACCCTGTGTGTTGACTGTCACAACCACACAGACGCCCACACTTGTCTCCAGCCCTGGCTTGTGTGGGTTTGATGTAGGCTAAGAGAGACCCTCAGCAGTTAATGCAGGGGCGTTCCAGAGGTGGTGCCTCTGTGCCACAAGCTGAGACATCATCACTACCCGAGTCCTGCCAGTCCTTGCACCCCAGACTTTCGTTTGCTTCAATCTGCACGTGGTCTGGGGAGGCTCATCCAACAGAACCTTGTGGTTTCACTTCTGAGAGAAGTGAGGAAGTTGAGTGTTGTGCTTGCATGTCCTGAGCATTGCGCTTTACTCATAGCTTTTTAACTCTCCACAAACCTTTCAGAACAACTGGGTCCCACGGAGAGGAGACCAGGGTCCCAAGACCATCGAGCAGATCCACAAGGAGGCCGAGCTGGAGGAGCACCGGGAGCAGATAAAGGTGCAGCAGCAGCTGCTGTCGAAGAAGGATAGCCGTGGCGGCGGTGGTGGTGGTGGTGGTGGTGGTGGCGGCGGCGGTGGTGGTGGTGGCAGCGGGCGGGGCGGCCTCCATCCTCCAGGGGGGCGCAACAGCCAGCCTCAGGACGAGGGCTGGAACACCGTCCCCATCTCCAAAAACCGCCCCATCGACACGAGTCGTCTCAGCAAAATCACAAAGGTTGGTGCTCTTAGCAGAGCCCGTCAGTTTGTGTCCGCTGCATCGGTGCTGAGACGTCTGCACTAATCTGCCATTTTTCCCTTCTCAAAACTTTTTCATGGTTCTCTTCAGCCTGGAGCCATGGACTTCAACAACCAGCTTCTTGCCCCTGGGGGCAAGGGCACCTGGGGCAGTTGGGGCAAGGGCAGCAGCGGGGGATCAGGGTCAAAGCCCAGCAGTGAATCTGGTAGGTTGTTGAAATACCTTATGACTGCATGGCAAGATTAGTTCATAACTCTATTCTAATATGGCACTGTAACCCACCCCCCTCAAGCCTCAGAATCGGGACGTCCTGCCACCAGCACCCTTAACCGCTTCTCGGCGCTCCAGTCTGCCTCTGGCCCAGCTCCCGCACCGGAGGCTGATCGTAAAGTCACCCACAGGTCTGTACCCCTCCCCCCCGCCCCCTGCAGAAAGCAGAATGGCCTCAGACACCCCTTGAATGTAACAACCCCCTCCTCACCGCCACCGCCTGCACAGGTCCAGCTCCAGTCGGGACCGCGGTGAACGGTTTGACCGCTCCGACCGCCTGGACCATGGCGCCGACCGCTTCGACCGCCGCGACGACCGCGGGTCCGACAGAGGTGACCGCAACAGGCCACCGGTCACCAAGAGGAGCTTCAGCAGGGAGGCTGAGGAACGTAGCCGTGAGCGGGAAAACCGCGGAGGCCCCGACCCGGTGCGGCGCGTGTCCAGCATGACCGAGGACCGCGACCGCGCCCGTAGCAAAGAGACAGGTATAGAGCCACACAGTTCTGAATGGCCGGTGTGTCACTCATTAGCCTGAATCATGTCTTTCTCTGTGTGCTTGCTGAATGTCGGCCTCTGAGTGACATCAGATTATATTATAATTACATTATATTTCTGTTCAGTGAAGCGAGAGACAGCCCCCACACCCCCCCCTGCTCCCATCAAGCCTTCCATGACTGAGGAGGAACTGGAGAAGAAGTCTTTGGCCATCATTGAGGAGTATCTACACATCAACGACATGAAGGTCAGCTTGTGCAAACAGTAGGGCTGCACCCCTGCAATGGGGACACCTTGGCACAGCGGTCGACGTCAAGTGGCTAACTGCAGTTTCTCCTCCCGATCACAGGAGGCGCTGCAGTGCGTACAGGAAATGAACTCTGCTGCACTGCTCTTCGTGTTTGTGCGGGTCGGCGTCGAGTCGACGCTGGAGCGCAGCACCATCGCCCGCGAGCATATAGGCCTGCTGCTGCATCAGCTGGTGAAGGCTGGAACGCTGCCCCCAGAGCAGTACTACCGTGGGTGAGTCTCTAGCTCCCACTGGGGTCACATGACGCAGTAGGGTCCAACTGGGGTCACATGACGCAGTAGGGTCCGACTGGGGTCACATGACGCAGTAGGGTCCGACTGGGGTCACA